ACGAATTTAGGATTTTGATCCTAAGTCAAGATGATTCATGCAATGAAGTGTTTGAAGCCTTGAGGCGATTTGGAGTTGTATGGGAAAAGGAAGGTTCTACTAGAGAACTATCAATACATTGAGACGATCCCTAAACATTTTGGCATGATTTAAGAGGTTGGATAGGATGGACTTGCTCCTACAACCTTTTTGAAAAGACAACACATGGCGTCATCTAAGGAACCTAAAGACTTAGAATGGAATTGTCATTGGAATCCTAATGGATAGGTTCTAAAAGTTGGTTTGCTACAGTCCAAGGAGGAGCTAGGGGTGAAAGCTTTTGATTCGTCTTCTTAAAAGCCTTACCATGTGCCTACATTATGTGTCGATGCCCTTGACCCGTCAACTTGCAAATTGCACTAAACATGCCTAACAAACTCCAATATGTGATGGGGTGTAGTCTATAAGCTCTTCGAAGCCATAGAACACTTTATCTTTGTTTTGTAAGCATCCATGAGTTTGGTGGACACATTTATGATTTTGCAAATTGTAGGCGTACAAGGACCATAGCCATTAACATAAAGCGAGTATTCAAACAGGCAATATACTCATGCAAAATCAATTTAACATTAAGAAATGAAAGCATGCAAGAAAGAAAAATTCGCTTTAGGATTTTGATCCTAAGTCAAGATGATTCATGCAATGAAGTGTTTGGAGCCTTGAGGTGCTCCAAACTACCATGCATGGGAAAAGGAAGGTTCTATTAGAGAACTCTCAATACATTGAGATGATCCCTAAACCAATTTTGGCATGATTTAAGAGGTTGGATATGATGAACTTGCTCCTACGACCCTTTTTGAAAAGACAACACATGGCGTCATTTAAGGAACCTAAAGACTTAAGATGGAATTGTCATTGGAATCCTAATGGAGATAGGTTCTAAGAGTCGGTTTGCTACAGTCCAAGGAGGACCTAGGGGTGAAAGCTTTTGATTCGTCTTCTCAAAAGCCTTACCATGTGCCTACGTTATGTGTCGATGCCCTTGACCCGTCAACTTGCAAATTGCACTAAACATGCCTAACAACTAACAAACTCCAATATGTGATGGGGTGTAGTCTATAAGCTCTTCGAAGCCATAGAACACTCCATCTTTGCTTTGTAAGCATCTATGAGTTTGGTAGACACATTTATGATTTTTAAAATTGTAGGCGTACAAGGACCATAGCCATTGACATAAAGCGAGTATTCAAACAAGCAATATACTCATGCAAAATCAATTCAACATTAAGAAATGAAAGCATGCAAGAAAGAAAAATTCGCTCCCCCCCCCCCCCCCTAAATTTAGAGAAGTTCAACGATGTTTTCCAATCAACCTATTAGTCGTAGGGTTTGAAACATGAATCAAAAGTGCTCATGGACAATCCCACAACTTCATAAAAATGATTGAAATGCATGTTTGAACATCTAAAGAACTTAGAGGGGATTGTGCATGTCATGACGGTGCAAACCCATTACATGTATACACTAGTTTTGTCATAACATATAAGTTTTAGGGATCTAGTAATGCATACCACACTTAGATAAGAGACTCTACGCTTCTACACTTCATTCGACGTTGAATGAGCCACTAAACCTATGATTTGGTTGTAGGTAAGGGCACTAAACATGACATGAATGTTATTGCATGCAAAAATAAAGACATTGAACGCAAATTAAATGCCCCATCGCCATGCCGCCATCCTTTTAGCTCTCACATGAGAGAAAATCATGGGAAATCACTTGATTTCCATTATTCAAAAATGTGGACAGCAAATGAGAGAATTTGGGAGACCAAAAATCAAAGTTTCTAGGGACCTAGGGCTTGGGGACGTCAACCACACATCAATGGCTAGGGGGCCTTAGGGCTTTTCCTAAGTTTTAGTGTTTTACCTCTCCCGGGTTGTCCTAGCGCTCCTATCCAAGCTCCAATCCAAGCTCTAAGCATTGCCCAAGCCGCTCCGAGGAAGGAAGATCGCTGTCCAAGCTGCTCCGGACGTCGCCGCCGCTGTCCAAGGCGTTCCAAAAGCTCCAAACCGCTGTTTGGAAGGTTTTGAAGCTTTCTCCTGCTGTTTGGAAGCTTACAACAGCTTCCAACTCGCCTCGAGGTCATCGGAAACGAAGAAGAAAGAGGTAGAAGCCTTCCTTCGGAGGAAAAGCCGCACCAGCAAAGATTTAGAGAGAACCGGGGGCTTGAGATAGGACTTACAGGCCGGCGGCTTCAAGAGGTCTGGCGGATGAGTGAGGTAGAGCTCCTAGAAGACCTGGCCGACTATCCATGTGGAGTCGGACTTGGGTTCCGCACGGCCGGGAGGTCGCGAACAGGGGGAGATCGCGCGAACGAGGGCTTCGGCACGGGTAAATGCTCATCCTGGAACCTTTCCTCTTGTTCTCTCTCGCTCTCTCTGGGTCGGGACGGAGAAACAAAAACAACAGGAGAGCCGAATGGCTCTCCCACCCACTCTATTCACTCCCTTAGAGACGCACGAACCGAGCCGAGAGCAGCCCGATACATCCCATCGCTGCCACGTTTCATGAAACGAGAGAAAAAAAAATCTACTCAAGTAGATTTTCTGCCCAATTGATGTGAAATTAGGGGGGATTTGAGGTGAGAACTCAGCCCTAGATCTCACATTTTTTGTTTGAGAACCAAATTCAGCCCAAACTGACTGAATTGGGTTGAAATTGAGTTTGAATCGAACTCGACTTGGATCGATTTGGGTCCGATCGAATTAATTTCATGAAATTGAACTCAAATCGGCGTCGAATTGCGTCGAATTGGGCTCAACGATGTTCGGTTCGAATTGATTCAATTTAAATTTAATTAAATTGGATTTAATTTAATCCAATTAAGGCTTAATTTGGGTCAATTTCGCCTTGACGATGATCGATTGGAACGATCGAGCCTAGTATGGCTCGATCGGGGTCGGGTCGATACAAAAAATATGCGTCAACACCATGAGGTAAAAGAAACCCAGAATAAGTCATTAGAAAACGAGATAGCTATAACGCACACCATGATAAACACAGAATTTGCAAGATCCAACATGATTACACTTTCCAGAAAGTGTTATATGATTTGGTTGCACTTGGGCTTGGATAGATTAAAATGCAATATATGAAAGATCAAGTCTATTCATTCTGGTCCATTCTTTTTTTTTTTCTTTTTTTATATTCTGATCCATTGTTGATTTTGCAAAAGATGCTGAAAATGCATTTTGATAAGATCTTCCTTCCTACATGAGGATCCATTTTATTATCAATGCAAAGAAACTGAAGCTTTTATTAACCAACATTGATGAATGACATAAAAGAAGACAGAAGAGTGAATCCCGCAATTGACAATTGAGGATCCCAACTTTAAACTTGAAGGCCCACTACAAGAGAATTGCATTATGGATATGAAGGCCACCCCGATGTGAAGTGAATTAGAGGAGGCCTCAAGCTCATAAAAAAGGACAACCCCAAAGACAAATCAAATGGTATTAAAAGGATGTTTGACTCTTCCCCTACCCACTTCTACTAAAAAGGGTAAATGAAGGCAAAGGGAAGAACTGTGTCCAAGCAAATCTGCAGTAACAACCGGCACATTCAAGCATGTTAGGAGGAGAATGACAGTGAGTCCATTGGTTTTGTCGGATCCATGGAGGATTGAATTTAGGTTGATTTTTTTCTTCGCCTATTTCTTATACATTCATAGGTTTTATTTAGCCTTTTGATTTGGTCTTCTCTTGTATTTAGGGATGAATTACTTAAAATCTAAAACAGGTGGTTCCAGAAATCAAATTTTAAGTAATTTTTTCCTTTTTGAATTTAGTAAATCGTTAAGATTTTGATTCTCATTTTTATTATAAAAACAAATTTTTTGACTTAATGGAAATCAATGCATTCCAAAATCAAAGATTTCAGGTTACTCTCTCCTTTTCACAAACCCCTCTCTTTTCACTCCTCTTGTCCATTAGCTACAAGGGAGACAGCGCTAGTTCACACCCTCTCCTTTCTCTTTTCCCCTTGGTTTTGGTTATGACCAAAAACCAGCAAAGCTGGAAAAGCTGCCAAGCAAATGGAATACGCTTTGGAAAGTTCCAGTTGACTTTAATCTATCAAGAAACAGTAATTTCACAGATTGTCAGCAAGTTGCAGCTACTTGGACAGTCATTCCAGCAATTGTGGAGAAAGAAGAGGAAACTACATCAGCTTGTCATCTATTCTCTTACAACCACGAATTCGATAATTTAATCAAAATTTTGGTTTGGTAATCCACTAGGACATGGACCAGAATAGAGGGGAGCCAAAGATCAGTAAGGAAAAATGTGGCCTTAGGTACTTAAAAATTAGCACAAAAAAGACCTTCCTCTCAATATTATCTCGGACCATACATGCGTCATGCTTGGGACTCTTCTTTCTATATATTCCTATTAAATAAAATCAGAGCTAATGAAATATGATTCAATCTTGTGGCCTTACATTGCCCGTACACTATGTACATCTTGAGCACATCGCATGAAAAAAAGATCTTTTTCCGGAAGAGTTAACATTTCACATCATACGTCCATGTTGAAAAACTTATTGAGGGAAAGATTTTTTTGAATTTAACAAAATAATATGACTTTTTTTATTTCCAGCTAGCAATGAGTAAGTTCTTCACTAAATGTTTTTCCATTTGTATGGGCTGCATTAAATATCTTTTTATGCCAGCTAAATAGCATGCTTGTGCTTGGAAAGATAATAATTATGGACTAAATGTTAATCAGCCAAAATGATTTTAGTTACTACAGCTTGTAACATGAATTTATGGCAAAAAGATTAGTACAGCTACTGCAAATAGTCATATGTTGATGATTATAATGGCTCCCTCTAGAGGATAGAGAAAATCATTTGAAACTAAACCAATTGTACAAATTTATAATACCTTCTGTTATAATCATGAAAGTAAGAACCCATAGAGCAACTACACAACCCTTAAGTTGATGTTCCACTCTTACCACAAATTCTAAGAGTTGCCGATCCTTCATTGCCCTAAGCTCTGCAATATCCCACAACCCTTTTTCAGCCAGCTTTTTGAGTGAACTGCAGATAGGAAAAATATCCGTATTATGAAAACTCAATGAATTAATGATCTAAATAAACTTTACTAAAAGAATGAATTCAGACCTCTCCTTGTATAACCGTTGCACATCTGGAAATTCCTCCTTGAGATTGTTCCTTTTTATTACATCATAAGCATTCTTAAGCATTTTCATTTCAACATACTTTTGAACTAGAAGACATAGCATTGGCTTCCCCATGAACACAGCCCACTTCTCTGCAGCTTTAAAATTATTATTATCCATCATTTTAACCAGAAAGGACTGGCCAAGGTTGACAGAGAAATGTTCCACGAGTACTGTGGCAGTCATATATGACTGAGACTCGATCAAGTCAACTATATGACGTTCAATAAATGCCCTTGCTTTCTCCATATCATCTTTTTTTGTCACAGAGCCAAATCTGGCCTCCCCAATATCTTTCAACTCAATTTCAAAAAGTTCCAATATCTTTATGAGAATACGTTCTTCATGGTTAACAGAAGAAGCAAGAATGTCAACAAAAAGCCGAGCAGCAAGATGTTTAGCTTCTGATAAAACTCCAAGTGCAGGTTTTCGATTTTTCAGACGTTTAAGAGAACACATAAGCAAGTGACTGAATCCTTCAGCATACTGGAGGCCCAATAGCGGTAAGATGTAAAGGCAATGAACAATAAAAGTGTATGGATCAGGCTGAGGTGCATTACAGAGCGCGTGAAAAACATGCTGTTGAAGGACGTTAAACTTATGAGTTGCTTTGCGAGTGCCTATCAATGTCAGCAGTAAATTAGCAACGCATACATACAGCAGTTGGATATAAAGACAAATACAAATAGAATTATTTCCATATGAAGATATAAGTTCAAAAGAAGCTTAACCAGCCTCCAAGAAACAAATACACAATAAGGAGTTAAAAAAAAGGACATGCAAATAGTGAATTAAGTTGCATGCATGTGCCAACATCAAGGTTGTGAAAACCGGACCAGATAACGAACCGAAAGAAGTAGAGATTCATGGTTCGACCGGTTCGAATCTATTCGAATATGATGACGTAATAAATAATAATATTATAAAAATTTAATAAAATTTTGGATGTGCCTATTGCAGTATTTAAAGTTAGGAAATATTACACAATGATTTACATTCATATCACAATCTTATAATGTGAAATGATTTTAAATGGAATGGAAAACCTTCTCAAGATAAAATATTTCCATCATCCACAGATTTAATATGCCTATTGAAGTCTTAAAAGTTAGGAAATCTTGGATGTTATGATATAACTTCAAACTAAGAAAATATGTGCTATATCCACAAACAAGAAGGCAATGAGCATGTTATGACCCATAACACCAAGTATGTAAGCTTGATGTAACATTTAGGAGCCATTTGATTGCAAGATTAAAATTGAATTAAATCTTATCGAATAATTTTTTTGTGACCATTAAAATCGAATATATGGAATGTAATTTTAGTAGTAATAGATCTACTGGGAGGATTGTGACTTTGGGAGATCAAGTCATTAATAAGAGTATGTTTTAGATATCTTGGGTATATTGTTCAAAGCATGGTTTAAAATTGCGCAATATGAGGCTCGCCTTGAGGCCCGCCTTTGCGCAATTCCAGTAAAAAACGCCTCGATGCTTATGCATCGAGCTTTTTTTATGAGGCTCGCCTTAAGGCCCGCCTCGCCTCACGCTATATATATATTAAAATTTACATAAATCTTGAAGTAAATACCCGACATTGGACTTTATAGGAGAGGAGGAAGGGGAGAGAGCAGTTCATCATAATGATGATTCAAATGAAGAACCCCTTAGTGATGACATATGAGTTCTTATGTGATATGTCATTACTATTTATTTTTGGAAATTGGAATTATATGTTAATGAAAAGAATACTGGAATCTGGGAAAGATAGAATTTTGAGTTGAACTATATTTCATGTTATCTTATTATTGGGATATTTTGATTTCACTTCATATCTTATGTTTTTTTATATTTTATATTATTCACTCATTAGAATATAAAAATTTTATCATTTTATGTTTACGCAAACTTTTGAATTTGAGGCTTACGCCTCAAAATGCCTTGAGGCTTACGCCTAGCCTCACGAATGAAAAATGCCTCAATACCCGAATACGCAATTTTAAACATTGGTTCAGAGTGATGGTGAAATAGATGGGGATATTATTAGTAGAATTCAAGTTGGATGGTTGAAGTGGAGGAATGCATCAAGCTTGTTGAGTGATAGAAAAGTCCCCTCAAACTTAAGCGAAAATTCTATAAAATGATATTAAGACCTGCAATGATTTATGGTGCAGAATGTTGGCCATTAAAAGAGAAGCATAATATTAAGTGTTGCAGAAATGAGGATGCTTAGGTGGATGAGCGGCTTTACTCTTAGAGATAGGATTTGAAAAAAGCATATACATGAAAAGGTTGGAGTAGCTCCAGTGGAAGATAAGATTAGAGAAAGTTGCTTTAGATGGTTTTGTCACATTAAATGACGGGCTTCCGATAACCCGGTTAGGAGAGTAGATGTATTATATTTAGCTTATATTAAGAAAGATAGAGGTAGACCTAAAAAGACTTGGTTAGAAAATATTAGAAATTGCCTTCTTTATTAGATTTAAATAAGAATTTGACTCTTAACAAAACACAATAGAGAAAAAAGGATTCATGTAGCCAACCCACAGTGGGATAAATGCTTAATGTTGTTATTGTTGTTTTCTCCCCATTTTGAGCTAAACCCAAGATTTAGTAACTACCATGTGACCAAGGATTTAATAAAATTTACCTATGAGCAAAGAACTAAAACAAGTGTCATCAACAAAGGAGCAACAACTTCTCTCACAAATTTCTCTTCTCTTTCACATATAATCAATCTCGTTAATGTCCCCTTGCAAGATTCTGTCAGGACTTCCACACCTCTTATTTCAATTAAAGTTTCATGATTTTGGGTAGGAGTGGAAGAATAGAATGAGGGCATCAAGTTTTTGGATCTTGGTTCAGGGTTAAAGGGGGAAATATAAGGGCTTCAAATATTAAGTTTTCTATAATTGCAAATTTATTATTTAATTTTTATGAATTTTTAAAATTAAAAATCATATATTTAAATTGCTTAAAAAAATTATGATATTTATATAATTAAGAATAGATATATAAACACATATTAGGAAAAAGGATATGCCATGATCCTAAAATATGAAATATGAATGACATTAAATTATAAGTGTGCTATTAGTTTAACATTAAAGTTATATGATGATATAATAATTATAAAATAAGGTTTAAAAAAAATAATTAACCTAAAACAAATTATTTAATTATAGTTCTTTTTATTCCAATTAATAATAATCATTTCCATGATTATCTATTTAGCTTAATTAAATTTTAAGTAGATCTTAATATAACTAATTAAACCTCTTTACACTCAAAATATCTAAAATTTAATCTTATAATTTAAATTAAATATTAATTAATTTGGTGAATCAAATTTGCTCACAACTCTAATTTAAATCCCTTAAATATAGTTATCCTCTTATTTGTTTATCCAAATGATTTTTTTAGGGATTTTATTATCAAATTGAACTACACACCCACCATATTAATTTTCTTGTTAAATCTCATATTCCTTTAAATCTTAAATCCAGGAAATAATTGTCCAACAGTTTAACAGAACTTGGCCAAATTTAACATTTATTATGCAAAACAATTTTGAAGATTTTAACACTCCTAATAGTCGCTAAACTACGATTTATAGGATTTACTAATCTGATCATCCATGTTCATAGTATTTACAAAATCCTTCTTGTAGTAAGATTTAGCTTTTAACTTCACACCCTTTAGAGGTTGTTTTGTATCTTATTTTAAGTAAGATTTAGCTTAAATTGCCAAACAAAATTTTGAGGACTTTTTTTGAAAAATCACATTTTAATTTTAATATTAGTTAAACCTAGAATAATTTAAATCTCACCATTCAAGAGATTTAATAGAATTAAGGATTTCTCCTCTCATAAATTATAAATCCTATTATAATTAGTAAAACAACTCATCAGGATTTGACAAAATTTAACAATTGTGATGCCAAACAAATTTCAACTTTAAATCCTTTCAAGATTTAGTTAATCTAGAATTATAGGATTTACTAAATCCTACTTTATTAAATTCTACTTGAAGCCAAACTATCTCTCAACTTCATGTCAATGAGCCTTGGTTGTGATTGTTGAACAAATTCGTAACAACTATGAGTTACCTCATACAAGTCATTCCCTTAAGGATAGAGGTGATGGGTTTCAAAAGTAAAAGTTACAAGTCGGTTATTAAATTGGAGTGCATCAAAAGTAATATGAGATTAGATGGTCATTGTTAATTAAGTTGAGCATGGAATCAATTAAAAATGATAAAAAAGAAAATATTAAAAGTTTATTTAGGATAATATGAATAGTAGCTATTAAAGGTTTGATTATGGAATTTAGTCTCGAGTGCATTAAGCAGATATGGCATAGCTTGAAGTTGTTTGGAAACAGATATATCATCAAAAAATTATCTTGATCAAGCACTAATCGCGAGGTAATTTTGAATTGAAAACTTCCAAAATTAAATCCGGAATAATCCGAACTCCAATTTCAGCAAACTTATAGTCGAACTGAACGCCTCAAAAAGAACTCTATGACACAAAACTCGGCCCAATCTGAGCCCAAATGGGTCTAAATCGAGGACCCGAAGCACATTTGGGATGTTCAAACCATAAATTTGATGATCAAATGATTTCTAAATGTTACATGCTTATAGTTTAATCGAGTGGCTCGACGAGACGAATCCAACGAGCCTACATTCATCAAATTCTGGCACTTAAATACTTGATAAATGGTATCTTCTGTCCATTCAAAACAATCCCAACGTGCCCTTGATCTTCTTCCTATTTACTAGTCATGTCACACCCCAAAACTATAAATAGACCCATCATTCTTTACAAAAACAAAGGGCGGCTCGTGTGGGGGATGGGCAAGCAAGAGAGAGGAAAGAAGAGAGAAAAGAAAGGGAAATTTGATCTCTCTTGCCACCAGGCTCTTCCTCAACTACTGGCCGGCCACTAACCATTGTCGGACTTCTACTGAACTTCCACCCAGCCACCAACTTTCAACGGACTTACATCGGACTTCTGCCCGGCCTCTAACTCTCACCAAACTTTTGCACGGCCACCAACCGTCATCGGATTTTCGCCCAACCACCAACCATCGACAGACTTCTTCCTGGACACCAATGTCGCACGCCGACTAAGTTCTTTCCGACCGTCGTTGCCCAACTATGGTCCTTTCAACTAGTCACGTGTGGGGGAGGGGAGGACCAAGCAAGAGAGAGAAAAGAAGAGAGGAAAGGAAGAGAAATTTGATATCTCTCTTGCCACCAGCTCTTCCTCGACTACCAGCCAGCCACTGATTGTCGTCGAATTTCTACCGAACTTTCGCCCGACCACCAACTTTAGCCGAACTTCCGCCCGACCACCAACTTTAGCCGAACTTACGTCCAGCCACCGATTGTCATCGGACTTCTACCCGGCCACCAATTCTCACAGGACTTCTGTCCGGCTTTTAGCTGTCATCGAACTTTTGCCCGACATCCGGCCATCGACGGACTTCTGCCTGGACACCAACGTCTCATGTCGATTAAGGTCTTTCCAACCATCGTCACCCGACTACAGTCTTGCCGACCTCTGTTGCCCACCAACTACGATCCTTACAACCACCGTCATCCGATTACAT